AAAAAAAAAAAAAAAAAAAAAGAGTCTACTATGGCCAGGTGTGGTGGCTTACACCTGTAATCCTAGCACTCTGGGAGGCTGAGGCAGGAGGATTGCTTGAATTCAGGAGTTTAAGACCAGCCTGAGCAAGAGTGAGACCTCTTATCTACTAAAAAATAGAAAAATTAGCCAGGAGTTGTGGTGTGTGCCTGTATTCCCAGCTACTCGGGAGGCTAAGGCAAGAGGATTGCTTGAGCCCGGGAGTTTGAGGTTGCAGTGAGTTATGATGATGTCACTGCACTCTACCCAGTGTGATAGAGCAAGACTCTGTCTAAAAAAAAAAATAAATAAAACAACAACAAAGTCTACTGTATGTCAGGTTCTCTCTTCAGGGTACTGAGAACAGAACAGTTAATAAATCACAGAAAGAAATTCCTGCTCTTTGACCTTATATAGCTTATTTTGGGGGAGTGTGTATGTATATATGTGTGTGCGTATGTATTTTAATTACTTCATTATTGTATGTCTTCTTACCACATACACGCACATCAGATGGTGATAACTGTCACAGAGGGGAAAAAGGTACAAGAGGAGAGTGGAATTTAGAGCAAAGGCAAGCTTTATTTTATTTCATTTATACAGAGGTCTTGCTATTTCGCCCAGACTGGGCTTGAATTCATAATCCTCCTGTCTCATCCTCTCAAGTAGCTAGGACTGTAAGTGTGCACCACTGTGCCCAGCAGAGGCAGATTTTAAACAGGGTGATCAAAGAAGGCTTATCTGAGCAGAAATTAAAGAGAAAACACATATATAGTAGAATGAATCAGTAAAACTTAAAAGTTTGTTTTTCAAAAAGACCAAGAAATGCAACGAACACCTGACAAGCATGATCAAAGTGAAAAAAGGGATGGCTTGTTTCAACAATATCAAGACTGAAAGAGGACACATCACTATAGATCTTTCATATTACAAAATAAGAATATATTATGAACAGCTTTAGGCTGATACATCTGAAAATTTAGAAAAAAATGGGCAAATTCCTAGGGGAAAAAAAACTGACATAAGAAATAGATCATTTGAATAATCCCAAATCTAAGAAATTACAAATCCTCCCAAAGATAAACTCCAGATGAAATCCTCCAATATTTAATTATATCAGTGTCATAAAAACTGTTCCAGAGAACAGAATAAGAGGGAACAATTCCAAACTCACTCTATGAAGTCAGCATAAAGTTGAAACCAAACTCAGATAAAAATGTAAAATCACAGCCACTTTCTAATGAACAAAGATACAAAACAACTACAAAAAAAAAATCAAGATAGCCAGGTACAGTGGCTCACACTTGTAATTTTAGCACTCTGGGAGGCCAAGGTGGGAGGATTGCTTGTGGTCAAGAGTTCAAGACCAGCCTGAGCAAGAGCAAGACCCCATCTCTACTAAAAATAGAAAAAATTAGCTGGCCAACTAAAAATAGAAACAAAAGTAAGCTGGGCATGGTGGCAAGCACCTGTAGTCCCAGCTACTAGGGAGGCTGAGGCAGGAAGATCGCTTGAGTCCAGGAGTTTGAGGTTGCTATGAGCTAGGCTGATGCCATGGCACTCTAGCCCAGGCAACAGAGCGAGATTCTGTCTCGGAAAAAAAAAAAAAAAAAAGGATAAATTTAGTGATATAAAAAGGATTCAAAATCATGAGTAAACTGGATATATTCCAGGAATGGAAGGTTGATTAAAACTTCAAAAATACTTAATATTTTCTACCAGAGATGGGGAACAAGACAAAGATATTCACAATCACCCTTCTCCTCAACATTGTATTATAGGCTCTAGTCAGTACAATAAGGCAAGAAAAAGACATGAAATTATTAAAATTGGAAAATAAGAAATATGACTGTCGTTATTTGCAGGTGATGTGATTATACATGTTGAAATTTCAAAAGAATCCAAAAACTATTAGAAAGAACAGTGAACCTAGCAAAGTTTCTGGATACAAGATCAATATAGAAAAAAAAATCTTTGTATTGCTACATTCTAGCAATAATATACCAGGCAAAAATTCCTTAAAGAAAAACTAGAAAGGACTACCCAGTAAAAGAAAAGGTTGATACATTAGACCATAGTTCCAAAAGAGGGGAAGAGAATAGATGGAGTAAATAGATGGAGAGAATAGATGGAGTAAAGGTAATTTGAAAAGATAATAGTTGAAAAATTTTCAAAATTGATAAAAGGCACCAATTAATAGATTTTAAAAGTCTAATTAATCCCAACAGGATAAATAAAAAGAAACCTACCTTTAAAAACATCACAGTAAAACTATAGAATACTGGAGGAAAAAATGCAGAGGAAGGGCTATTTCAGATAGGGTGATTAGGCAAGTCTTTCTGAGGAGTTGATATATGACCAGAAACCTGGATTTTAGGAGTATAGGACAAGGGACTAGCAAAATAATAAAATAAAAATAAAAAAGAGGAAGAATAAGCAAAGAGACCCATATGACCTGAGTGGCGTAAATTGGGGGAAAGTAATAGGAGTTGAGGTCATTGACACAGCCAGGGTCAGTCAGAGTACATGAAGCCTTAGAAGCTTCTTAAGTGTGACAAGAATAAGTCAACAGAGGTTTTTAGCAGGAGTGTGACATTATTTATTTAATATATTAAAATGATTATTCTGGTACTATGTGGATGACAGAGTAAAAAGGATAAGAACAGATGGTAGATGATGCTTAGACTTCATTCTGCCAGGGAAGGTTCAGAGAAGTAGATGTGTTTGAGACATATATAACAGTTCACATTTACTGAGAAATTACTATATGCTGCACATTGTTCTAAGCACTTTACATGTACCACTCTTTCAGTTCCATTAACTATCCTATGATGTTGGTAATATTACCTCATTTTGCAAATGAGGATACAAACATAGGGAGGTGAAGAAATGGCACAAGATCATAGAACTAGTCTAACTCTATCACCTCTGCTTTTAACCGCTGTGAGATAAAACTCTCAGCGACTGACCATACACAGGAGGTGAGAGAATGCAGTTGGGGAAAACAAGATAACAAGTATAACTCTCAGACTTCAGGCTTGTATAAATGAATAGATGGTGGTGTCATTTACTGAGCCCACTGAGTACACTGCAGTAAGGCCAGGTTTATAGAAGAGAATGAGTTTAGTTTTGAACAGGTTAAGCATTAGTTACCTTTAAACATTCATATAGAGATGTCGAGTAAGAAGGAGTTTAAAGCTGAAGCTGGCACATAAATGATAAAATACTGGTTGCCAGGGGGAGGAAGAAATGGGGAGACGTAAGTCAAAGGATACAAAGTAGCAGGTATATAGGATGAGCAAATCTAGAGATCTAATGTACAACATGAGGACTATAATAATGTTGTATTGTATTGTATTTGGGATTTTTACTAAATGAGTAGATTTCAGCTGCTCTTGCCTCACATAAAAAAATGGGTAACCATATGGGATACGTTAATTTGCTTCACTATAGTAATTTTTTTTACTATCTTTATGTATCTCACAATATTATGTTGTATATCTTAAATATATACAATAAATTTTTTTTAAAAAGATAAATCGTGGGCATAGATAAGCTTGCCCAAGGAGAGAATATAAAGTGAAACCATAAGAAGGTATAGGACTGAGTCAGTCCTAAGAAACTCCACATGTAGAGTCCAGGTAAAGGAGGAAGAGCTGGTTAAAGAAGATTAAGAAAGAATAAACAAGAATATGTGGTATCACAAAAGCTAAGGGAAAAGATTACTTCAAGTAGAGAATGGTCAACAATACTGAAATTTGCTAAAAAATCAAGGTATCTTATTTTTTCTCAGGTGAGTTTTTAAGCTTAAAAAGATGGAATGTACTATAGTCTCAACAATTCTGAACGAAAACTTTTAATAAATGACATCCAAATAAAAAGTATGTTAAGGAATGTTCTAAATTTTTCTGAACCACTTAAACATTTAAGATTTATATCTGAAAATTTCTAATCACTAAAGAATTTTCAATGTTTTAGTTTTTAGTGCAGAAAGCATAAAATAGTTTAGCGATGTAATTATATTATATACAAATAGCAAAATTATTCTTACCTATATAAAAAAAGATCTTTGGCAAGTCGTTTAGGTCCAATGATTTTGAAGATAATTTCGTATGTTTCAAGTGCCTTCCGATGAACTCCACCTGGTAATGCTGGATGCAGACATTGAGCTAGGCGTTTGCCTATGGTCAGCTTTTTGGGTACTACCTGGTACTTTGCATTATTTTGTAAAACCTTAAAGAAAACATTTTAATGTTGTTGAGAAAAACAAAAATATTACACTTCATTTTATTTCCATTTTCTAGCACAATGTTATCAAAAATTATCATGTAGGTCTTTGTTTTGTCATTTACATCTATCATATATATTTAAAATTAGACTGAGGAAATTAAAAAATATTTATTAATTTCCTTAAAAATAAACTCATTACACATTAAAACATATTTTTAGTGAAAAATAATATTTTCCAAAACAAATTTATAAGAAGAGAGGTCTTGTTTTAGATTTTTTGCAAATCTTTAATATTTAATGTAAGAGAAGACAGCTGAAATGTCATGAGTCAGCCTTCAATCCATTTTTGATGCTTTGTTTAGAACAAATGAAGAAAATCTGGCCTCACCATAGATATTTACAGTAATTGGAAGAGGGACAACCACTACTCTACTAGATCACATTATAATAAGCAATTCTAATACTTACAAGAAAATTTATGAGATTATAATTGCCCATTTGTTTTTGGAAACTTAATTTCCCAATTAGACAAAAAACATTTTGCTTTATTTATTCAATCGTAACATTTCTTTAGAGATTGTGGTCAGGGAAGGATTTCTATAAGATTCTATCTTATGAACAACCCAAAGGAGATTACTTATTTAAGTAATGAAAAGATCTTATAAATGTAGTGCTTTAGCTTGAGCCTAGAAGACAGTATTATGGTAAAGTACTGATAGGAGGTCATAAAATGAAGACTCAGAATGAAGACAGAATAATATGTTAGAAGTGGAATGTAGAAGAAATATATAATACAAAATATAATACAAAAAGTCCTTTATTTTACAAAAGAAAGAACTGGGGTTGAAATATATAAAATGACTGCCAAAGGCAGTACAGCAGAACAGTCAGCACTAGATTTCCTAGTTCATTAAATTTATACTAAAACATATATTTAGAATATATTCAATAAATATATATTCCTTGCCTTGTTTCACCATGATTTTAGGTAAGTATCATCAATGACTTGGGTATTCTACTTTGTGTTAGCTGGATACAGTGAAATCTATTTTCGTCAATATTGATTAATCTATAAAAACTAATTATGTATTTAATTAGGCAAATTAATTTCCATATTTAATGAACTGCCTTCAAAAATGGTCCCAGTAAGTCTTCAGAAAGAGATTCTTCAGAACTCTTCAGAGAAAGAAAGAACCTAACTACCTCTAAGCAAACTCAAACTTTTGGATGCAATTTCCTGTGGATGTTGTAAAGAAATCAACAATTTTTCAAACCTTGAATGATGAATGTTAGAAGTTGGTATGTCAAACAGAAACTTGTGCATCTACGTTTAAGATAAATCCTTGGCACGTCGAAAATGAAAGCTTTTCTTTTTAGGATATCAAGGTGATTTTCTGTAGTGAGTTTCAGATTGAAAACAGTGTCCTGGTGTGATATTATGGTATACAATAATATATATGTATGATGTATATATCTCATAATATCTATATATTATTGTTCACGGTTCCTGGCTCATAACTCCCATACCCCTTATTACAGTCTGTTGTTATAATGTTGGGGCACTTTGGGCTTCAGAAGCAGGCCTCAAAAAACATAATTTCTCTTTGACCTTCTCCTGTCCTGCTCTCACCTGCTCCTTTTTCTCCCTAAGGCAGAAATCTTCCATTGCCTTTCTGTCTTGGAGCTGTCCATAAAGAAATTCTCTGACCTACCTTGTCTGATCACAGATCATAAGACCCCCAATGTAGAAGGGGTCCTACCCCATACCCAGGAGGAAGGAATGCTGTATGGATAGGCCAAGAAGAATCTCAACAGACAGGCCTTGATGGTTTTTTTCCACTCAGTCTACTGGTATTAGATCATACCCTTTTTGTCCAATCACATTTCTACACAGCTGTCCTTGTTTCAATCATGCCTATCTGATCAAGTCTCCGTAGAAGGCCCAAGAGGATAGGGTATGGAGAGCTTCCAGGATAGCTGAACACATGGAGGTTCCTGGAGGGTGGCACACACAGGGAGGGCACGGAAGCTCTGTGCCTCTTCCCCCATACCTTGCCCTATGCATCTCTTCATTTGTATCCTTCGTAATATCCTTTATAATAAACCGGAAAATGTATGTAAGTGTTTCTCTGAGTTCTGTCACATGCTCTAGCAAATTAACCAAACCTAAGGGGGGGGATGGGAACCCCGATATATAGCCAGTTGGTCAGAAGCACAGGGGCTTGTGATTGGCATCGGAAGAGGGAGGCAGTCTTGTGGGACTGAGCCCTCACCCTGTGGGATCTGATGCTGTCTTCAGGTAGATAGTGTCAGAATTGAATTGCATGACACCCAACTGGTATCCACTGTAGAACTGATAGCTTGCTTGCTGGTGGGGAGAAACTGCCAAATATTTTGGGGTCACAGAAGTCTTCTGCGTTGATTATTATGGTGTGAGAGCTGATGAAAAACAGTTTGTGGTTTTTTCCACATACCTTGCTATGTATTTTAAGACAAATTTCTTTTCTAATAATTCTGTTAAGCTATTTGGTGTTAAAGTAGTTATTGGAAGGATCACTCCTTTCCTATCTAGCCCCTTTAATATTTAAAGGCATTCCTATTCAATAACTTAAGAAACCCTGAAACTATGGGTGTGAGGTGAAAAACATTTGATCTAAGTTAAAAATTTGATCTCAGTTAAAAAAAAAAAAACAGGGTCAAAATGAAAAGCTAGAAGTTGATCAGTGATGCCATCACAGTAACTGTGGATAAAAGCCAGACGTGTGAAGAAGGATCATTCAAAGCCAAGTTCCAAGCCCTAAGTGACTGCTTGTATACAGACTTGCCTTGTAAAAGTACTGAATTATAACTGAGGCTTGCCTAGATATAAAATGTTTCCTCGCTTCTACATACCATTTGGAAAGGACACAGAAGTTACTGCTTTCCATTTGCAGTTTTTCATTTTGCTGCCAGGAACTCCAGAACCATATCTAATGCTCAATTACAGAAACTTACTAGCCATGATGGTTAGCAAATTTGCTTCTTAGTCTTATGTTTTTATAGGTAATAATAATGGTGATAATGTTATTTTTCAAGCACCATTGGTTTCTTTGAAGTAGAACTTTTAAAACCTTAACAATATGCCTGACTACACAGACATGGTACTCATGAAGTAAAATAGTACTACCAAAAGTAATCTAGAATTTAGTTATGTTTTTAAATTCTCCAAGGTTTAGAGAAATCTATTAAGTACAAGCATGGATTTCTGAGTTTTACTTTTACGAAATGGATAAGACAGACATACCTTGTTAAGTTTTCCAAGTGCTGATATCAAATCTGCCCATTCACTGGAGTATTCGAAATTCTTTAGTGCTTTGTCAATTGCAGCTACATAGTTTCTGTATTTGGAGTCACTCAATAACTCCAGCTCTTCTGTGTTCATCCTCCCACAATGTCCCACTAGAGACCAATTCCAAAGTCATGTAAAATCATTACCTACCAAACAAAAGAGTTTACAGGAGGAACCATGGTTATAAAATAAAGTATTAAAATGGGTTCAAATGATCTTGCTATAAAAGTAATGGCCAACTTCAAAATGTTTCTTAATTTAGAAGTGGTTGAAACTCTGTTCAGCTAGTATGTAAGGTCATAAAAGTATTCAAAGACAGCCTCAAAGATGACTACTTGAGGTTTCCTTCCTAGGAACTGCAAAACTGCCTGTAAGAATTTAGGGATACAAAAGAGTAGCAAATTTTCTGATACTTATCTTAATTTAGAAACCATGTTATTTCTCTGTCATATTTGTTGATACAACATTTCTGATATATATACCCTTCTATTTGGTTTTGATCCTAAAATACAGTAAGTCTGGTTAGATTGGAAACACCAAGGATATGGGGGGGAGGGAAAAAAGGGGGAACATGAATGATTTGGAGATCATTTTATTAAGTAAAAAGCAGGCATATAGCAATAAATAATATTCTAATAGTAACATCAGCTGCTTTGAATTAGACTTTACTTTGAATGAAACTGACAAGAATATGTGGTGGTTTAAAATATGTCCACAAATTCTTTGATATTTCTTTCAAAAAGTGGTGCCTAATCCCTCAGCACTGTGGGGTAAACTTTGTGATCAATTCTAATGAAAAGAACAAGGTAGAAGAGACAATGTATAAGGGCCAATAGGTCATAAAAGCACTCTGCTTTCTCCTTACTCTTAGATCACTGGTTCTGGGGGAAGCTAGCTGCCATCAATGAGGACACGTGAAGGAGCCCTAAGGAGAGGTCCCTGTGGCAAGGAACCGAGGCTTTCTGCCACAGCCATGTGAGTGAGCCATCTTAGAAGAAGATCAAGCAGATCCTTCATCCCCAACCAAGCCTTGATTTGACTGTGGCTCCAAATGACATCTTGACTATAACTTCATGAGAGACCTTAAGTCAGAAGGACATAGGTAGACTCTCAAAATTGTGATCTTTAGATCTGTTTTAGGCCACTGAGTTCAGGGATAATTGTTATACAGCAATAGATTACTAATATAGAATAATAACAAGGATTTGATTGAGGCTCAAATTAAAAACTAACTTAAAAACTAATGTGGCTTCTTCTCCACTTTTTTGGTATCCTATCTGATTTCTAACTCACTGTGTACCTTTCCCTATAGCTGGGCTCATGGATCTGCAGGAAGGTCTAAGAATGGGCCTCAGGGGATACCAACACAATTCAATGGAAGTAATAATAGTCTTTTCCACAAGCAGTTTGGGATAACTGGATATACATGAGCAAAAGAATGAAGTTGCCTCCTTCACACATACTCAAAAAATTAACTCAAAATGGATCAGAGATCTAAATATAACAGCTAGAACTGTAACACTCTTAGAAGAAAATACAGAAGTAAATCTTTATGACTTATGGCCAAAGTCTTTTTAGAAATAACACCAAAAACCTAAGCAACAAAAGAAAAAATAGAATTAAAACTTTTGTGCTGCAAAGGATACCATCAAGAAAGTGAAAAGACAACAGGATGGGAGAAAATATATCTCCCATATATTTGATAAGAAACTTGAATTAGATACATAAAGAACTCTTCCAAGTCAATAATAAAAGGACGAATAATTTTAAAATGGGCAAAGGATGTGAATAGACATTTTTACAATAAAAATATACAAATGATCAGTAAGTACATAAAATGACATTCAATATCACTATCAGGGAAATAGAAATCAAAACCACTAGATAATACTTCACACTCACTACGATGGCTATAATAAAAAAAGACAGACAATAACAATTGTTGTTAAAGATATGGAGAAATTGGAACCCTCATATACTGCTGGAGGAAACATAAATTGGTGTGGCTGCTTTGAAAAACAGTCTAGTAGTTCTCAAAAGGTTAAACAAGGAATTACTATATGATTCAGCAATTCTACTCCTAAGTATGGTATAGACCCAAAGAGAAATGAAAACACATGTCCACTCAAAAACTTGTACATGAATGCTCAAAGAAGCATTATTCATTATAGCCAGTAAGGGGATACAACCCAAATGTCCATCAATTGATGCATGAATAACTAAAATACGATGGAATACTATTCGATTATAAAATAAACACATATTAATGCATGCTTAAACATCCATGGACCTTGATAACATTATGCTTAGTGAAAGAAGCCATTCACATAAGACCACATATAGTATTATTCCACTTTTATGAAATGTCCAGAATAGACAAATATACAAGGGCAGAAAGTAAATTAGTGGTTGATTAGAGCGGGGAGAAAAAATTGAGGAGAAATGGAGAGAGAGTGAAGTCCTAAAATCAATATTTCTCACTACAGTTAAGTACAGAACATTTCCATCATCCTAAACACAATATCAGATATTTCCGTCACCTCTATCAAATGAGCTTTGTTTGAAATTAATCTCCTCTCCCCCCAAAAATTCTGCTTTCCAAGAGATACAATAACAAACTACTTGATACAACTAGAAAACTTGAAATAAGTAAATAAAAATTCTAATTTGTTTTTTCTATAAGTGATACATGTAAATCAAAATAGCATTTGTAATCTTTCCTTTAAGAGCTGTTAGTTGGTAGCTTTTCTGACTTGATCTATAGTCAGTCCTCTTGACAATTTAGTTCCAATACTTTCAAACTTACAACTCAGATAAAATGGACTTGAATTGTCATGAAACATGATTTAGTGTCATATTTTGTCTCAAATATGAAATTTAAACAAAATAGCTGTTTATGAGGGGAAAAAAGCCATAGATTCCTCTGGGCAAATTAGGCCCTATGTAAATTATCAGGTATTACAGATTTGTTTTTATAGTGTAAAAAGCTAAACTCTAAATAAGAAATAAAATATTGCATCAGACTATCTCAATTTTTAAGAGTTTTGTTTAAATGGTTATAAAAAGTGAATAGACCTAATTTCAGAATAACTACACAGAGATACTTTGGCTGGTTGTCTAATCACTAGCTGAGTTTTCTCCTTCCCTCTCTCTCTTTGCCATGAAAGGCAGGGGGAAGGCTAAACATAAAGATAAAAAGATTTACCATTACCTAATTCTAAAGATATATTTGGGGACTAAATATTATATCACATCCCAAGGATATAAATTAATGAATTACTACAAGCACCATGCAGTGGGAAGAAAAAAAAACCTGTTTATTGATTATGAAAGTAAAAAATAAGTTTTATATAAGTAGATGCTCTTTCCAAACTTTTTTTTTTTTGAGACAGAGTCTCACTTTGTTGCCTGGGCTAGAGTGAGTGCCGTGGCATCAGCCTAGCTCACAGCAACCTCAAATTCCTGGGCTCAAGCAATCCTACTGCCTCAGCCTCCCGAGTAGCTGGGACTACAGGCATGTGCCACCATGCCTGGCTAATTTTTTTTTCTATATATTTTTAGTTGTCCAAATCATTTCTTTCTATTTTTTAGTAGAGATGGGGTCTCGCTCTTGCTCAGGCTGGTCTCGAACTCCTGACCTTGAGCGATCCACCCGCCTCGGCCTCCCAGAGTGCTAGGATTACAGGCGTGAGCCACCGCACCCGGCCCTCTTTCCAAACTTTTTGATCAAATAAAAAATTATCATAACTTGTTACCATCTCACAAATGAATCTGACAATTATTAAATCTATTTCATTTTGCTCAAAAGTTCTAAATTCCAGTGTTGACAGTGTCACTAAATAGTCTTTAGCAAATCATTTATTTAACCAACTCATCAGAAAGCTAGTCACTCCACAAAACTTGAAATGTCCCTTGAGGATGGAATACAACACAAACCAGGTGTTTCACAAATAGGTTATGGTCACCCACTATAACCCTGATGCTCTATACCTCCCCAATCTGATCCAATCTCCTATACCCTTAATGCTGTCTCAAACATTCAAATGGTATACACTCCAGATAATGTGCTCAACTGATCTTTAGCCACCTTCTAGTCTTAATTATCCTCTGAAGACAAGACCTCCTTTGATGCAGCAAAATTAGCAGCATCTTAGCTAACATTATAGTTTGCTTACTAAATGCCAGGAACTGTTCAAGTGCTCTGCCTACTTTAATTCATTTAATCCTATTTGATCCTATGAGGTAGGTACTATTGTTATTCACATTTACAGATAAGGAAACTGACGAAGCATAGAAATATTATCAATATGTGATACAGTTAGTAAATGGCAGAGCTAGGGATTTAAACTCAAGCAGTCTGGCTTTAGAGCCCTAACTCTTAGCTATTACTCTTCACTCATGGAGGCTGTTTTCCTTCTCATACTCATCCTACCTCAGGGCTAGAAAGTAAAGTGTCTTCTTTACTCCCTCTACCATATTTACCTGGCAAAACCCCAATCCTGGTTAAATTCAACTATCTGTTTTTTCCATGCCTTAACCTTATCAACTGAACATTGCTGGAGGAAAATCATACAACCAGATTGACTGGCTGGACTTAACTTGGGAAACACAAATCTCAAACAGGTGCTCAACACTATCCAAACCCACTATGTTTCCACAGTAAATTTACCTTCCTGACACAATGATTTCGTACCTTCTCTTGTCAAGACTTTAATACCACCTTTCCTCCATCATTGCTAAAGATCTAGCTTCAAATGTAATTAAGTAAACAGAGGCAAAAGGAACATTCCTACCTTCCCTCCAACAAATCTACAACCTATCTTCACCTATACCCACCCATATTCTCTACTTTCCCTCTTGTTACAAAGAACATAGGACCCTGCTCTCCAATGGGGAGGACCACCCCTTTGCTGTGTTCTGGATCTCATCTCTTCTTGCCTTCCCAAAGACTCCTTTTTAGCTCACTCTGCTTCAACACCAGTTTCTCCTCCTCTACAGGATCATTCTCCATCAGCCTACAGACAAGCCCTAGAATCACCCATAGTGTAAAACTAAAACCCATAGCCTTTCCTTAACCTCCATAGGCTCTCTGG